ACCTGCAGCCGGGATCTTTCCGGGGGAGTCTTTCACTGTGTCAGCGTGCGGAGCGTGGTTGGGAGCACTCCGCGATCTTCCTCGTTGCGAGCTTGGCCCGGAATTCTGCTAAATTGCAGGGAAGTGGACGTCATCGACGGAGAGACTCGCTCGCGGAGGCCCCCTTCCCTCGCCTGCCCCCCCCCGGCTGACCCCCTTTGTCTTCCCAATGAGATGCCTCAACACTTTTCCACTCCCCAGATTTCCGTTGCTCTCCAGCTACGACCAGGCCTACCCCAATACCCTCCTCATGACTCCTGCCGTTTCTGATGTCACTAAAATTACACCACCACTTTTAATAACCCCATTATTCATCTCAAACTGCTATCTTACGTACAATTTTTATAATAGCTGTAAAGCACCTTGGAAATGGCGCAATATAAATTTCAATAAGATATCTTGAAAGCTGATTGCATTTGTTGAATTATGTGCCTTGTAATAATCATAGCGTGTACTGGGCGATACCTTTTTTAACCCGAATTCTGAGTTGTCATTGATTTGTTTTATTTGTGTGACAGGACCATCCACAACTTTAAAGCTTTGGCTCAAGTGTTGGGATATCAAAATAATTTACTATTCTGTAATGATTACAATCACTACGTTGTTTCTATTGTGTTGTAAAAAAAAAGATTTTTTTAAAAATGGTAATTGTGGAATGTTAATGTATTCAAATGTTAATTAAATGCGTTTTGTTAATGCATAATTATTGCGCGTAAATTAATGATTGATTGGTATGCATCTTCTTATTTAAAACATAGTGAATTCAATTAAACAATAGATTTTCGCATTAATTACAAGTTATTATTGGTTTTCACGTTGTCGAGGGGTGTGTGTTATCAATCGTGATAATATCAATGATTCTCGCCTTAACATGTACTGATTATAACTTAATAAATGTGTAATTATGTCAGGTCAGGATACAGTTCTCGCAATTGAGAGATATGATGCATGAGTTAAGAAAGAAGCACTCGACCTTAATGTAAGTGTAGTGGGTTCAATTCAGGCACACACTGGAACTTTGGGAGGCAACACTATTTATTCTTAACACAACTCTTAACATAGGGTGGTGACTACCGACCTATCCTCGCTAACACACACCATCACTCGCTAACACTGACGCTCTCATACGACTCGCGTGGCCAAGCCAGGAGGGCTCCTGGTTGGCCACGCTGACTTGAGGCTTGATTCTTCTTCTTCTTCTTCACGAGGCGTCTTCACGAGGCATCTTCATCCCGGACCCGAGCCGCCCCGCACCAGGTGCGGAGCCCGCTTATATCCGCCTCGGCGGGCCTGGGCCACGCCCAGGCCACGCCCACCTTCTCGAATCCTCGAGAAGGCTCAGCCCCTGGCCACGCGACCCCCAAGATCCCCCTGGGGTCCCCCGCCCCCACCTTTATCCGGTCACGTGTCCGGCCGGGTTCATACAGAGTGCCATGGCCTGACACAACCCCCATGGCACTGGCGACAGCCTCCCGGCTCCCCGACCCGGCCGTGACGTCATTCCAATATACCCGACGTAGTGACGTCATGTGCGTACAGGCTCCCAGTAGTGACACTACAAGTCACTACATAAGCAACTTAAATATTAACTTACATTGACAACTGAAGCTACTTATCAGAATAGAACTACAGTACCCATGCAAATATACGTACTCGTAGATCTGTACTAAATGATTATAAAAGCATCAACGATTGTATGATACGATTATGCGATTTTAAAGAAAAGAACCAGGCTCACGATTCAAAACACAGTGTTTATGCGAGCATACGTTTCTTAAAATGTTTACCAAATAGTTTGAAAATCATCAACTATCGAATTTCAAGATTATGCAAGTAAAATAAATCTCATTAATATTTCAAAAAACAATATTCATATAGAAATCCGTGACGTGGAGTGGATGTGTGTCAGGGTGGCAATCATGAGCAAGGTTAACCCGTTATGATTTGTAGTGTGGTGTGAGTTGGTTCACGTGTGTTTTTCGTATGAGGTGGCGTCACCAACTGTAAGCAGTATGCTCATATGATGGGTGCATGTGATAGCGGGTGTTCATCTTTTGTTTTCACTGTACCCGAAAATACTTGCAGTCCCACAAGGGAGTGTTGATCGGTCGGCTTGGTCCACTGCGAGAGTGTGCTGTGACCACGCTGCTTGCTGTCTATACTCAGGGGCAAGGTAAGGTAAAATGTAAAAACAATGAGCCTACCTTTACCCTACCTTTTACCTTTACCCCGTACAAATTACCCGATTACAGGGTAATTACTGGGATACTACACATGAAAAAGGTTTATAATGGTAAATGCTAGGTAGAGCGCTTTATACATATAGAATACTCTCGATTCCAATTTTACACGCTTTCTTTGAACTAACTCTGTCTGTTGTTGTTGTCGTTGTTGTCGTTGTGGTATCCTCAAATCTTGTAACTCAATTTTAACCCACTTCCCAATGTGGCATCGACTGCAAACTTGGTATACTTATGTCATACTGATGATAACACTATATTCTATCATGAAAAAATGTGTTTTTAAACATTATTTTTTATATGTTATGTTTCGGCTTGGGTCTAATTGTCCACGGTCAACTGACGTTGGCTGTAATTGGCCACGGTCTCTTATGTGAATGCAAGCTGCGGGGCCACGGACTGCGCCACAGAGCTTTTAGCGGTAAACAAGGTACCGTATTTACCGGGTAATACTTCGCGTTACCTTTACCCTACCGGGTAATTCTTCCGAGCGACCTTTACCCTACCCTTGACCTTACCCCTTGGCATGTCCACACCTTTACCCTTTTACCCGGTAAAAAGGGTAAATTACCTTACCTTGCTGAGGCCTACTTGGTCCACAGCTGAAGTGCGCTCGCGGCTCTCGAGTCCGCATGCTGCCAGTCAGCTGTTAGCTGCTGCGCCATACGCTCGCAGGTTGTATGCACGCCAGACTCGATCTGCATCTGGAGTACACTGCTGCCCTCGAACCAGCACATGCCAGTCAGTCGTCAGCTCTGCCATGTGTTTGCAGGTTGTTTGTACGCCAGGTTCGATCTGTAGCTGGAGCATGCTGCGGCCACGCTGGCCCAGCACGCTTCGATTCTTTTATCAGCCTTAGGAGTGGCTTGGTTCGCGAGCACCCTTGGTTGCTCCCTCCAGGAGGTCTCACGCTAAACAGCAGCCTGCACGTGACAATGCTTACACACTCCCAGCCTCTTCACATGTCATCCAATGTCAGTCAGTGGTTAGCTCAACCACCAACAGAACTTCCCAGCCTGTAGCTTGGGCAGTATTTCTGTCGACGCACTCAATACTGGCGTGTACCTCAAATCTCAACATGGGGAAGTTGCTTTGTGCCACCAAGGGCGTTTTGCCAACAATTCCCTTCCACCTCTCAGCTTCCAACAGTATTATATCGATAACTCTTTCACACCACAATAGCGCGACGAAGAGCTGCATAAGACACCTTGCCACGAATGGGCGCTTATCCGAAATTTTCCTCAACCACGTAACTTTATCGCAACACTACATTTCGAAGTCCTCGACTTTGCAAGACTTAACACCAAAAAGAGAAATACAAAAGCAAAACTTTCAGGGATACTTAGAGTCTTCCTTAGTAAGAACTCAACTTTTTAGCTAGAAATGAATTATATATGAATTATATAACGGAAGTCAAAATTAAACATTCATATATTCTAAAACAATGTAGGTCGTCTACCTTCATTATGAGTTGTCTCTAAATTGCCTGAATCATTTCAGAGAATTGAATTAGTTTAGAGCATAAACTACATTTGCTACAGCATACTTTATACATTCCTACTATGTCGGATGTAAAGTTGACTAATAGTGTAAGAACATCATCTACTTCTAACGGTAAACTGTTAAGTTCACATATTTACCAACCAACCTTCATTGTTATTTGAAAATGTTAGAATATATTGGTCTGTACATGGCTGCAAAGGTTGTTACGTTGTTTTTAAATTGGCAAATCTACTCAAATATGGTTATAACATGCATTGCGCAGTGTGCAGAGCCACCTCTGTTTCATTAGCACTAGTATTGGCCACACGACTGCAGTAGCCAGCATGTTGTTTTTGAATGAGTCATCTCGAAAGAGTTAAAAGGTCCAATGACTATTCATACCTGAAGCACAGCAAAGCAAAAAAACAAGACAATAAAAACGTGACGAACAATTAGAAAGTCGAGTAGTAGTAGGTTTTTACCCTTTAAACTGGTACAGAAACTGACACCTTTATACAAGGCATCATGCTTGCAATAACCACAACACAAGCAGTCAAAATGCAAACAAAAATAAACAACTCTGATGATGATAATGATATGCACTGTCCTTGAAGTTGATTGGTCCACACCCGAGACAGCCTTTCTTAGAGCCTAGTCTCTATTGGTGTTGGACCAGATGACGCCAAAAGGCGTACAACTCAAAGACAGCGCACTATCAGAGTATTGAGAGCTCGGGGTAGGCATTTACACTATGATACCTCCTTTACCAGTGGCAAAATATAGTAGTAGGTTTTTACCCTTTAAACTGGTACAGAAACTGACACCTTTATACAAGGCATCATGTTTGCAATAACCATAATACAAGCAGTCAAAATGCAAAGGTGTCAGTTTCTGTACCAGTTTAAAGGGTAAAAACCTACTACTATATTTTGCCACTGGTAAAGGAGGTCTCAGTGTAAATTAGAAAGTCGTTGGATTATCCAATCGACTTCATGAGTTCGGGGAGAATTGTGGCACAGTGGTTAATGCACTGCACTGTGAACGTGACGACCGGCCTTTGATTGTGAACTATTACTCATATCAGTGGGGCAAGTGATATCTGAACTGGTCAGACCCTTCCCTACATCAACAGTAATTGACTGAGTGGTGATTTATAGCTAACAGCAGTGCACTGAGATTACAGATTTTTTTTTTACGATGCGCCTTTGAGCAGTCTAAAGTGCAAAAATACAGTGGACTGGCCAAACGGTTGTCACTTTAATGAAATCCAGACACAGTACCTTGCAAGTTGGGCACCATATGCGTTGAAACTACTGCATATGACAGAGGTAAGGGACATTGGCGAGGCGTGGAGGTACCAGTGGCTGCCTTTTGCGAGTGCGAGCAGAACTTGTGTGTTACCATACGTTACCTCGTTGATCAGTGCAAGTTAGTGGAATTACCTACCTGATGGAAAATGGGTAATATTATTATAGCGGGGCGAGTCTATCCATGACAATCACTGTTGTAGCCCCCACAAAGTTGTAAATACTTTATCGACACCAGGGGAAAATTAGTCGAGTCAACCTCCAGCAAGGATATGAACTCGCAACATTCTAAATTGTGTGCCGCACAATTAGACTTTTACTCAAATCTAGAATTAGACTTTTACCTGCTATAATAGTTCCGAGTATTGTAATTACTATAATACCAGTTTCTATATCAAATACAAAACTACAATAATGCATTAATAAAACGAATAACTGTTTAACACGTAGGCTTTCGCAACCAATATCCATAAGAGGTTTTTTGGTTAGATCACGTAAGTGTGTCGTTAAAACCCGCCACCACCCGACACAGCCAACTAGTAAGGGTTGTCACGTCAACAGAACATGCAAATTCGTCACAAGCTCAGCACACCGGTGTGTTGGAGAGCCACGCCACAACATTTACAATCTGAGTACGACGTTTCGCCAGTAATTACAACTAGCTTCATCAGGCGACATCCAAATTTGTGGAGGAGTTTAACTGTTTCGTTCCTTATATAGAGGCGATGATGTGGTGACCACTCTTCTGTGCTCTTGCAAATGTGGAGGGGGGGGGGATTAATGAGGCAACGCACATTATGCATCTACATTATGCGAGCCCTTTTAACTAGTCCTTCCTGTCTATTGTGTTAGGGATTACCAACGATAATCACTATTGAAGTACACTGCCCTTTGTAGGCATGCATTTAAATAATTTATTATTTTATGATTCGCTTCCACGCAGCACTAAGGCGGTAGCTATCCGAAAGGTTAAAGTTATTTTTATTTGATAATAGGTTTTTTCCTTTTTTTCTGGCGACAAAACAGGTGTTAAGATTTTTAAACACCAAACTGTCTGCATTAACCACAATGCTTGTGGTCAGAAAGCAAACAAAAAACACTCTAATAATATATGTATTGTCCTTGAATTTGATTGGTCCACATCAGAGACAGCTTTCTTTCGAGCCTCGTCTCAAACGGTGTTAGACCAGAGGACGCCAAAAGGCATACTATTATCAGAGTATGTTTTTTTTGTATTCTGGCCACAAGCATTGTGGCTAATGCAGATATGATTCATCGTAAAAGGTTTCAGTTTGGTGTTTTAACATCTTAACACCTGTTTTCTTGCCAGAAAAAAAATAGAAAAACATATTATCATATTTTGGTACTGGCAAAGGATATCCCATGATGTAGATTATTTTCATTTCTTTAAATTTCGATAGATTATCTCATTAGTCTTGGCCAGTAGTAGCTAGTTTTGCACAAACCTTCAACATTATAAAAGTCAATTGAGTGTCCGTGTTGGCACGCATATTCTGCTACTGCTGACAGTTGTATTTGGGATAATGTAATATTTATCTAATGTTCTTTCAGTCTCGTGCTAAACAATCGTCTTCTTTGCCCAACATAACATTTACCACACGTGCAGTTAATCCTGTACACGCCTTCTGTTGATAGCTTCGGTAATACATCTTTTGTAGCAGATATTAATTTCTGTATTTTATGTACTGTGCCAAATCTGCCTCGGATGTTTTCTTTTTCCAAATATCTGGCTAGTGTGTCAGTTACTCCCACAATGTACGGTATAATAATAGTTTTTCACCCTTTTAACTGGCAACAAAACGGACACCTTTATACAAGGGATCATGTTTGCATTAACCACAACACTTGCGGTCAAAATGCAAACAAAAAGACAACTCTGGTAATGAATGCACTGTCCTTGAAATTGATTGGTCCACACCCGAGACAGCTTTTCTTAGATCCTTGTCTCACTTGGTGTATAAATGTGTCAGTATTGTTGCCAGTTAAACGGGTCAAAAACTATTACTATATCTTGCTACCGGCAAAGGAGGTCTCATGATGTACGGTATTTTGATCGTTTTAATTACTTGGGCAATTTCAATGCTCTTGTTATTTGATTTGGTTTTGGCATTCAATGCCCTGTTGATTTGTGCATCATTGTAACCGTTCATTTGCAGCGCTTCTTTAACATGTTGAATTTCATTTCTCAGACTGTCACCATCTGACACTTTCTTAGCTCGAGGAATGAGCGTCTTGATAAGAGAAGATTTCTGTGCGGGGTGATGGTGTGACTGCATTCAGATAGGTATCAGTATCCGTTTTCTTTCCGTAAACAGGCTTGAAGTTATTGCTTTTGTTTCAAAATCTTCCATGTACAAATTCGATATCACAGGAGTCAAAGGAGAGCCCATTGCTGCTCCTTACTTTTGTTTATATGAGTCACCTTGCCACAAGAAGTGTTCTTTAGACAGTGTTCAGCTAGTCTTGGGATATCTTTGGCTAAACCTTAGTTCGTTACCAGAGTGTCGAGTAATTTAATTGACTCGTTGACCGGAACCCTAGTGAACAGAGAGGTCACATCAAAACTTACGAGCATATCATTAGGGTTAAGCTTAATATCTTTAATTATATTAACGAGATGTTCAGAGTTTTTGATTAACGAAGAGGTCCTACCTATATAGGGCTGTATTGGTTTTGTTACGTATTGTGCTAATTTTTATGTGGCAGAGCCTATTGTATTAACTATGGGTCTTATTGGTGCATCAGGTTACTGAATCAAAACCACCAAGACTATATAGGCTTCCAAAAATTAACGAACTTGATGTCACATTAAGACCTAACGAATAATTTGAAGTTGGAATTAATATGTAAATGTACATTTTACGCCAAGAAAAAAATACTTTGCCCCATGTGAGGATCGGACTCACGACCTTCAGATTATGAGACTGACGCGCTACCTACTGCGCTTATGAGGCTGATAATTTATAAGTTTTGTTCTAATTGGAATATCTCAAATATTGGCATTCAATTGGAAGGTATAAAGAGGCACAACTAACACGTTCCTTCGGAGTGGGCTGGGAGGAACTTGGTTGGACAGCACATTCCTGCGATCCGTGTCACGCGGCGCAAGCTGCGTGGGCGGTGCGTCACGTGGTGCTGAGCCCTCCCGAAGCACTCTATGAATTACAAATCGAGGGCGTGGCTATGCACGACAGACAAATAATCCCTGGTGGGCAGTGTGGAACTGTTGTTCCTACCTGTAAAACTATTCCCTTTTTTGTTAAACCGTAACACAGTTTTATAACTGACTGTATGGACATTTAAATATTTAAATACAGTATATTGCGTTCCGTGCGACTTATGGACAGGTCTCAGGAACGGAACCAGTTTGTTAGTTGGGGACTGCCCGTATCTAATCAGAGACTGGCCTGTCAGTTTATTGTTTTAAGGCCCCATGTGATAAATGCAATGTTCAGGAAATCATATAATAATACCACTTGGCATGTGTGTGAATGTGTGTGCAGAACACTGTCCTCATCAAAAATCAAGACAAGTACTCATCTTACTACATCACACAACCTGCAGTACAGTATGGGCCAACTTCTGGACACAACTGCTGCTGCTCAGGAATGGAGCTCTTTCTTGGGGCACCAGGCACTGATCAGCCTGGCTATATTTTGCATAATTTTCCTGGTTCTTCGGGCTATACTCCAGGAGGTAAAGGCAACTAAACGCCCATTGGACTTTCCTCCTGGCCCAAAAGTGATACCATTTTTAGGGAATGTGCCTCTGTTTAAGAAACCCGATGTTGCCATAGAGGAAGTTACGAAACAGTATGGAGAGGTGTGCAGCGTAATGGTGGGCAAGATTTCCATGGTGTTTGTGAGTGGCTACCAGGCAGTAAAAGAGGTCCTAGTGCATCAAGGGCATGAGTTTGCAGACCGGCCAAACATCCCCCTCAACAAAAAAGTCAACGGAGGCCTAGGCATTATTTTTGCTCCATATGGAAAATATTGGATGCAACATCGTAGGTTCACTCTGTCAACATTGCGGAATTTTGGACTTGGTAAGTCATCCATAGAACAAACCATTCAGGCAGAGGTTGGCTTCTTAATTGAGGCATTTAAACAGAAAGGATCGGCATTTGACCCTCACTATAACTTAAACAGTGCTGTGGGAAACATAATTTGTTCCATGGTGAAAGGGAAACGGTATGAATACAGTGATAAGCAGTTCCATGATTTTTTGCACCTCATTGAAAACAATCTTCAGCTCCAATCAGGGCTGCTGGGAACTTTATGCAACTTCTTTCCCTTCTTGATGGATTTTCCTGGACCGCAGCAGAGAATATTCACAAACATGGCAAAATCTAAACAGTTTATTCGTGATATAATATCTGAACGCCATGCAACAAGAGATCCCCTCAAGCCAATGTGCCTGATTGACACCTACTTGTCTCAATTGGAGAAAGAGGACAATCCCAACAGCAGCTTCTCAGAACAGAGTCTCATCATGTTGACGTTGGACCTTTTCACTGCTGGCGCAGAGACGACCTCCACCACATTACGCTGGGGCCTTCTCTACATGATGATGCACCCTGAAATACAAGCCCAGTGCCATGATGAGATTGACAAGATTGTGGGATCAGATCGACTACCATGCATGGAGGACAGACACAGTCTGCCCTACCTGGATGCTGTGATCCATGAGATACAGCGCTTCAGTAACATTGTTCCATTCTCGGCCCCGCATGCAACCACCACAGACGTCAAGTTACGCCAGTACTCGATTCCAAAAGGGACGATCATAATGGTGAATATGAAATCGGTTCTGAGTGATGAAAATCATTGGAAAACCCCATACGAATTCAGTCCAGAAAACTTCCTTGATGAGGATGGCAAGTTTGTAAAGTCAGATGCCTTCCTGCCCTTCTCTGCTGGTCCCCGTGTCTGCCTGGGGGAAAATTTAGCAAAAATGGAGCTCTTCCTTTTCTTTGCATCTCTTTTGCAGCATTTTGAGTTTATCTGGCCTGATCTGGTCTCTCCACCAACCCTGGATTATATATTGCAGATCACCAAGGCTCCAAAATCTTACAAATTGGGGCTTCATCTCCGCAATTGAACATAGTTTAAAGAGTGCTATAGTGTGTGCTGGTTTGAGTCTATAATGTCCAAGCACACATGCACGCATTGGAAATAGGTTATGTTAAAAAAAAAATACATCACGATAGGTGAAAGAAATGGTATAAATCTGTTGTACAACAATGAGTGAATCAATTTAACTTTTTCTAGTAAATCGTTTAATCATGTTACGTTAGTTTATAGATAGAGATGATAGTTTTCTACAAACATCTTCCATTACTTCAGCGAATTTGCCCAAAAATAGTTAACCTTCATTTCATACATTCTTTCACAAGTCACCCGGGGCCCGAGTACATAAATGTAGAAATAGATAATGAGACAATGCTCCCCTGTTCATAGTCTATTTATAGGTGGCAGTGAAATTTCTGGTGACAATTACATTGTGACTTTTTTCAACCATTTTATACATGCAGTAAATGCATTAGAAAACATATATAGACACCATTACAATAGAAACAACTAACGACTCAGCTGTCTTCATAGGCTTGGATAAGGCATTGATACAATTGATCACCAAATCCTGTAAACCAAGTTAGTGATATTGGACTTATTTAAGTAGCAGTAGGTTGGTGTCTAAATTACTTTGATAGTAGAAAACAATGCGTAACATTGGTCAATCCTTCCTCTGGGTTTAAAAAACAAACACATGCCAAACAGCCACTCAATTACAACCACAGAAAACAACCGCTCAAATAACCACGACTATAAACAACTATTACCACTAAAACACATCAACAAATGCACATGACAACCACAAAATAACGCAAAAATAAATCCACAATCAAATCCTCAAACACAAGTATACATTCTAGATTTGAAGCTTTCGTGGCTGCAAGGATTCATACTCTTAGTTCTTTCGGTAAAGTCACGTAGATAAAAAATGAAATTAAAATTAATAAAAATAAAACAATAAAAATCACGACGTTTCGGAAGCAACACAAGTCTCCGTCATCAGGAGGGACCGTCACAGCCAGATTTGCTGCATTTTTTACCTACGTGACTTTACCGAAAGAACTAAGAGTACAAGTATACATGTCATTGTTATTGCCTTATACAAAATGCAACACTGGTGTTTATTCGTATCTTACATACTTGTCTCAAACTATTTGGTAATACCGTGTGAGCAATGATGCACAGGCACAAATAAGAAAATAACTCAATATGATACTGGCAAAAACATTTTGGATAGTGGCTAAAAGGTCCCATAGAGAAACAAAAATCACATCGTTAATAATTCTGCCTAACCGGAAACATTATAAACGATGTTTTAGGCAATGGGTGTTCTTAATATCAGATATTATAGAGAGGGAAGATAAATAAAGAGCATAAGAGTTGGAGACTGGACTTTACTTATAATAATTACATTGATAAATGTATTCCTGATGAACAGTATTTAAATTTGCATATGAAGAGTGACCTTTATAAAAAAAAATCTCATCAGGCTCCATAGTATAAAGTGGTCTAACTCTTAACCATACAAAATTACGTCGAACTTTATTTTCCAAGCAATCAGTATAAGTTTCCCATTACATCTATCTGATTTGTTCATGCTGGAACCGCCCTTGTATTCTGATACGCAACAACTGTAATGTTATTTTTTAATATAAATTTCTTTACCTCCTTAGATAGTTCGCAAGAGCCATGCATGGCTAGTTGCCCTCCAGTAACAAATAGTGTCCACACTTCCCCACGTAAGAGGCAATTCTGAAGATCATTGTGGGGTATCACCTCCCTATGTTCTCGTTGACGTGATCCTTATATCCCTTCCACTTCAAACCAAATGTATTTGATATGCCATCGAATGTATCAAACGGTATAAAAACTCAATACAGGTAATCCCCGACTTACGATGGCCCGACTTACGATATTTCGATCATACGATGGCGATAGCGATACGACAAAATTGTTAAATATTTTTCATTTCACGCGGCAGGCAAACGCAGCAGTGTACGAGGTACGATACTGTACGTTGGGACGCTGCCGGGATGTACGCATGTTAAAAGGTTTGATAGCAGATAGGATTGTTTCCTGAAAAAAAACTTTCTATTAAATTGCGGTTCATATAGGTAGGCTAAGAATTTACCTTGATTTTTTACTTTACATTTTACTGTGCAATACAGTATTGTAATTAATAAATACATACAGTATATAGTTTATACAGTACGGTACTGTAAATTGCTCTGTTTTGCTAAATTATCACCATTCTTTAAGACTCCTGGGTAGGCTAGGCCATCTTCGACTTACGATATTTTTGACTTACGATGGAGTCGTAACGCATCTCCATCGTAACTCGGGGACTACCTGTATTTCAAGAGTCGCAATAACGGCATGAATCAGTCCTTAAAGAGCCGCATGCGGCTAAAGATCCACAGGTTGCCAACCTCTGAACTGGTATATTGCTGCAGTCTCATGACTGCAGTAAGTACTCCATTTTGACTTAAGACTTTCGTGAATGCAGGATTTAATATTCATTGTTCTTTCGGTAAAGTCACGTAGATAGAAAAAATAACAATAAAATAATATTCACTTAATTTATTTTATTGTTATTTTTTATACGTGACTTTACTGAATGAACCATAGAATGTGCAGTAAGTACTGTCAGTCTCAAACTGAAGGTTGTTAGTTCAATCCTTAGTTTACTCTTAAAAAGCCAGTATAAACGAACAAGATTAACCTAATGGCAGAATTTGTTTTGATTGCTCCAAAGAAAAGAATACATCACTGTAGGTGTCTTCATTGGGATAATTTATGATAAAGTCACGATTACTATAATGAATAGAGAAACCCAACATGTTTTGCATTAGTTGATTAACAGTGGAAACCAACTTACATTTTGTAGTAGAATATATGTGAGTGTTTGGTAGAAAAAATTTAGCTGCAACATTGATATCGATCGATGTGTAGTGACATAAGAAGGGAGGGGCTGTTGGGGGCTCTGGGACCCTGGGCGGGCCAGGCGCTTGGGCCCCTTGGCGCCAGGCGCTGGGTTCCCAGGCGGGTCAGACGCTTAAGCCTCTTGGCGCCAGGCGTTGGGTTCCCGGGTGGCCCAGGCGCTTAAGCCGCTTGGCGCCACCAACGGGGGGGGGGCTGTGTGTGCTCTGTGGGATATCTGGGGGCGCACACGGCCCCACCCCTCGTTGGGGACTAGGCATAAAAGGGGAGCTCCCTGGACGGTCAGGGCCAGTCGTATCTCAAGACCCAAGACCCAAGACCAGCCATCTGAGGACCCTGAGACGCTGTGAGAGCCAGTGGTGGGACTCTGGAATTCCCGACTCTACGACCTTGTGAGGGCGAGTTCCAGAGCGTAGCCAGAGTAGTGTATCTAGGCTTTGTACCGAGGCTGTGTACCTGGGAGTTGTTACAGAGTATCAGGACTGTTGGACTGTTGGAGTGCTGTTGGATTGTAATAAAGAAGTTACCTCTACAAGTGTCTCCGGAACCCGTTACAGATGTATATTTTCCCAACAAAATGCCATGGCACTGTTATGGAAATAAAACATTTAGTGTAAAGTAGGATTAAATATGAATTGCCCCAATCATATTAGGCATTTTTAAACTCATTGCAATGGTGATGAGGAAAATTCGAAATTAATTGTTCATTGCTATTTGAGAATATATTTGATTAAGGAAACAATACCAGAGACGGGAGTCTAACTTGACGTGATAGCTACTTCACAATGAAAACTCGAGGTTAGCTCAGATCGTGGAATGTGCCGGATATGCTCTCTACTCTGAGTGGCAATTATAGTGACATACTTTGCCTGCATTAGGCACAGAATGCGAGCTAAGAAATACGCAAACTTTATTTCTGAAAAAGGAAGACATTGATGGCTGAGCTGTGGAGGTCCAATTACATTTTCAGGATCTTTATGGCCTCACAAGAGATTGTTATACGAGTGGGTTGCATTCTGAGCAAGAGACCAGATGGAGTGGAGTGGCCCAAAATGCTAGAAGAAGCCCAGAGGTGGGCCAGAGAGCCAGGGGCCCAGAATGAGCAGAGCATGGCAGATGAGGGTCAGATCCAAGAAGATCCAGAGGAGCCAGGGGCAACCGTGATGTTCACATTAGCTGGGTAGCTTGCGCACCCGTGCTTGTAAGGCTGACCTTGATCGAAGCCGTACATTGCACGAGAGGTATTGTGATAAAGCTGTGAAGGAATTGCGGTGAAGCAGTGGAGAAGCTCAAAGCTAATTGTCAGGATTCCAGTTTTTAAAGAGTATAGAGACGATACATACGAAAAGTGAGATTAAGGAGACTCAAAGTTAGTGCTGCAGGAAACTGAAAAGGAAACACATTTTGAGGTGGATAGAGGTTAACACGAAACCATATTGTGCTAGGTCACAAACTAAAGTGACTGTAAAACTACAAGTATGTGAATAATTATCACGGTGAAGTCATGTATGTACGTCGGACGATCAAAGGAGGCCAACATCATCGTTCTACACATCGTCAAGACTCAAGACCCGACCACACCTGGCCAGTCACCAGCTGCATCAACCACCTGGCTGCCATGCCGTCATCCATAAAGCTGCCGTCTTTGCATGTCAGGAGACATTGTGTGCGAACGGCATTTAAACAAAAACGTATTTTACTCATCAATTAACTTCAGTCACCAGTCAGAAGCTTCCTACACTTCTGCCGTGTCGCCTCAACTGTGGTGTAGAGGCCATCTGCTACAGACTGTACATTGAAATAAATACGAATTCACAATTATCACACCCTGACATACTTAACCAATCATCAGGATTTCATTATCACATATTATATTGACATTCAGCGGAACGTAGAAACTAACGAGTTCGTGGCGCCAATTATATTCTGAATTTACTATACACCAACATTAAGTGTGCTTCATATTGAGAAAGATACATTCTAGATTTGAAGCTTTCGTGACTGCAAGGATTCTTACTCTTAGTTCTTTCGGTAAAGTCACGTAGATAAAAAATGAAATTAAAATTAATAAAAATAAAACAATAAAAATCACGACGTTTCGGAAGCAACACAAGTCTCCGTCATCAGGAGGGACCGTCACAGCCAGATTTGCTGCATTTTTTACCTACGTGACTTTACCGAAAGAACTAAGAGTACAAGTATACATGTCATTGTTATTGCCTTATACAAAATGCAACACTGGTGTTTATTCGTATCTTACATACTTGTCTCAAACTATTTGGTAATACCGTGTGAGCAATGATGCACAGGCACAAATAAGAAAATAACTCAATATGATACTGGCAAAAACATTTTGGATAGTGGCTAAAAGGTCCCATAGAGAAACAAAAATCACATCGTTAATAATTCTGCCTAACCGGAAACATTATAAACGATGTTTTAGGCAATGGGTGTTCTTAATATCAGATATTATAGAGAGGGAAGATAAATAAAGAGCATAAGAGTTGGAGACTGGACTTTACTTATAATAATTACATTGATAAATGTATTCCTGATGAACAGTATTTAAATTTGCATATGAAGAGTGACCTTTATAAAAAAAAATCTCATCAGGCTCCATAGTATAAAGTGGTCTAACTCTTAACCATACAAAATTACGTCGAACTTTATTTTCCAAGCAATCAGTATAAGTTTCCCATTACATCTATCTGATTTGTTCATGCTGGAACCGCCCTTGTATTTTGATACGCAACAACTGTAATGTTATTTTTTAATATAAATTTCTTTACCTCCTTAGATAGTTCGCAAGAGCCATGCATGGCTAGTTGCCCTCCAGTAACAAATAGTGTCCACACTTCCCCACGTAAGAGGCAATTCTGAAGATCATTGTGGGGTATCACCTCCCTATGTTCTCGTTGACGTGATCCTTATATCCCTTCCACTTCAAACCAAATGTATTTATTATGCCATCGAATGTATCAAACGGTATAAAAACTCAATACAGGTAGTCCCCGACTTACGATGGCCCGACTTACGATATTTCGATCATACGATGGCGATAGCGATACGACAAAATTGTTAAATATTTTTCATTTCACGCGGCAGGCAAACGCAGCAGTGTACGAGGTACGATACTGTACGTTGGGACGCTGCCGGGATGTACGCATGTTAAAAGGTTTGATAGCAGATAGGATTGTTTCCTGAAAAAAACTTTCTATTAAATTGCGGTTCATATAGGTAGGCTAAGAATTTACCCTGTTTTTTTACTTTACATTTTACTGTGCAATACAGTATTGTAATTAATAAATACATACAGTACATAGTTTATACAGTACGGTACTGTAAATTGCTCTGTTTTGCTAAATTATCACCATTCTTTAAGACTCCTGGGTAGACTAGGCCATCTTCGACTTACGATATTTTTGACTTACGATCGAGTCGTAACGCATCTCCATCGTAACTCGGGGACTACCTGTATTTCAAGAGTCGCAATAACGGCATGAAGCAGTCCTTAAAGAGCCGCATCCGGCTAAAGAGCCACAGGTTGCCAACCTCTGAACTGGTATATTGCTGCAGTCTCATGAGTGCAGTAAGTACTCCATTTTGACTTAAGACTTTCGTGAATGCAGGATTTCATATTCCATTGTTCTTTCGGTAAAGTCACGTAGATAGAAAAAATAACAATAAAATAATATTCACTTAATTGTTTTTATTTTATTGTTATTTTTTATACGTGACTTTACTGAAAGAACCATAGAATGTGCAGTAAGTACTGTCAGTCTCAAACTGAAGGTTGTTAGTTAAATCCCTAGTTTACTCTTAAAAAGCCAGTATAAACGAACAAGATTAACCTAATGGCAGAATTTGTTTTGATTGCTCCAAAGAAAAGAATACATCACTGTAGGTGTCTTCATTGGGATAATTTATGATAAAGTCACGATTACTATAATGAATAGAGAAACCCAACATGTTTTGCATTAGTTGATTAACAGTAGAAACCAACTTACATTTTGTAGTAGAATATATGTGAGTGTTTGGTAGAATTTTTTTAGCTTGCAGGATTGATATCGATCGATGTTTATTTTCCCAACAAAATGCCATGGCACTGTTATGGAAATAAAACATTTAGTGTAAAGTAGGATTAAATATGAATTGCCCCAATCATATTAGGCATTTTTAAACTCATTGCAATGGTGATGAGGAAAATTCGAAATTAATTGTTCATTGCTATTTGAGAATATATTTGATTAAGGAAACAATACCAGAGACGGGAGTCTAACTTGACGTGATAGCTACTTCACAATGAAAACTCGAGGTTAGCTCAGATCTTGGAATGTGCCGGATATGCTCTCTACTCCGAGTGGCAATTATAGTGACATACTTTGCCCGCATTAGGCAGAGAATGCGAGCTAAGAAATACGCAAACTTTATTTCTGAAAAAGGAAGACATTGATGGCTGAGATGTGGAGGTCCAATTACATTTTCAGGATCTTCATGGCCTCACAAGAGTTTGTTATACGAGTGGGTTGCATTCTGAGCAAGAGACCAGATGGAGTGGAGTGGCCCAAAATGCTAGAAGAAGCCCAGAGGTGGGCCAGAGAGCCAGGGGCCCAGAATGAGCAGAGCATGGCAGATGAGGGTCAGATCCAAGAAGATCCAGAGGAGCCAGGGGCAACCGTGATGTTCACATTAGCTGGGTAGCTTGCGCACCCGTGCTTGTAAGGCTGACCTTGATCGAAGCCGTACATTGCACGAGAGGTATCGTGATAAAGTTGTGAAGGAATTGCGGTGAAGCAGTGGAGAAGCTCAAAGCTAATTGTCAGGATTCCAGTTTTTAAAGAGTATAGAGACGATACATACGAAAAGTGAGATTAAGGAGACTCAAAGTTAGTGCTGCAGAAGAAATCTGAGGAAACAGAGAAGACATTTGCCTACTGAAAAAGGAAACACATTTGAGGTGGATAGAGGTTAACACGAAACCATATTGTGCTAGGTCACAAACTAAAGAAAGTGACTGTAAAACTACAAGTATGTGAATAATTATCACGGTGAAGTCATGTATGTACGTCGGACGTTCAAAGGAGGCCAACATAATCGTTCTACACATCGTCAAGACTCAAGACCCAACCACACCCGGCCAGTCACCAGCTGCATCAACCACCTGGCTGCCATGCCGTCATCCATAAAGCTGCCGTCTTTGCATGTCAGGAGACATTGTGTGCGAACGGCATTTAAACAAAAACGTATTTTACTCATCAATTAACTTCAGTCACCAGTCAGAAGCTTCCTACACTTCTGCCGTGTCGCCTCAACTGTGGTGTACGAGGCCATCTGCTACAGACTGTACATTGAAATAAATACGAATTCACAATTATCACACCCTGACATACTTAACCAATCATCAGGATTTCATTATCACATATTATATTGACATTCAGCGGAACGTAGAAACTAACGAGTTCGTGGCGCCAATGATATTCTGAATTTACTATACACCAACAACATTAAGTGTGCTTCATACTGAGAAAGATGGCGGCAGTTGGCAGCAACAGTCATCTGCTCAATCCCTAATTTCCCTCCTCCATCCCTTTACCTCCCCTACCTGAACCTCCTTGTCTCTTCCCCTGCCGTCTTCTCGTCCACCACCACTATATTTTAGGCATACAATTTCTTCATTATTTTGGTGATGTCCGTGTTTTGGTTTGTTTGGAGGCACCGCTCTCGTACCTGCTGCCTGCTCCTGCGCCAACTGACGCATCCGTTTGGTAGCCCGGGTTATTCACTGTGGTGCAGCATCGCTCGCGCTGCACGACTTACCCGTTATCCCGTGCGACCGGTGGGTCGCTTCGTCACCCACATCCGGTGGCTCCTTCGGTGGGCCATGCAACCACCGGGGGGGGCTTTGGCTGCCCGAGGTCAACGGGGTTTTGTGCGGTCCCCGAGATGGAAGGGACCTGCAGCCGGGATCTTTCCGGGGGAGTCTTTCACCGTGTCGGCGTGCGGAGCATGGTTGGGAGCACTCCGCGATCTTCCTCGTTGCGAGCTTGGCCCGGAATTCTGCTAAATCGCAGGGAAGTGGACGTCATCGACGGAGAGACTCGCTCGCGGAGGCCCCCTTTCCTCGCCTGCCCCGACCCCCTTTGTCTTCCCAATGAAATGCCTCAACACTTTTCCACCCCCCAGATTTCCGTTGCTCTCCAGCTACGACCAGGCCTACCCCAATACCCTCCTTATGACTCCTGCCGGTTCTGATGTCACTAAAATTACACCACCACTTTTAATAACCCCATTCTTCATCTCAAACTGCTATCTTACGTACAATTTTATAATAGCTGTAAAGCACCTTGGAAATGGCGCAATATATATTTCAATAAGATATCTTGAAAGCTGATTGCATTTGTTGAATTATGTGCCTTGTAATAATCATAGCGTGTACTGGGTGATACCTTTATTAACCCGAATTCTGAGTTAAGTCATTGGTTTGTTTTAGTTGTGTAACATGACCATCCACAACTTTAAAGCTTTGGCTCAAGTGTTCGGATATCAAAATAATTTACTATTCTGTAATGATCACAATCGCTATGTTGTTTCTATTGTGTTGTAAAAAATATGAAAATGTTAAAATGGTAATTGTGGAATGTTAATGTATTCAAATGTTGATTAAATGCGTTTTGTTAATGCATAATTATTGCGCGTAAATTAATCATTGATTGGTATGCATCTTCTTATTAAAAAAAATAGTGAATTCAATTAAACAATAGATTTTCGCATTAATGACAAGTTATTATTGTTTTT